TGTTACCAGAATTTTCATGCAATGCATAGCCACCACAGATGACCGTATTTTATTGTTTGCAACCATATTTTGTAAAAGGGAGCACCCTCCTCCAATGTAACTGCATTACTTCTGGACTAGGAAAGTAACCCCGTGGTCATACACCTTTCAATGACAAAGCCAAGAAAAAATATTACAGAAATTTATTGTAAGTTTTTATTCTGTTAACATATAATTAATTACATTGAAGTGGTACATTCATGTACTTTTTTGTTTATTCAAAATTTGTTGTTCAAAAGCGATTTTGTCTTTGCTGTACTTCCTGTCTAGAAAGGCAGCAGTGCACACATTTTATCAGCTGTGTGTAAACTACAAACAGATATCTTATCAGTTGTTTGTAAATAGCAAATAAAGAAAGTGGCTCAACTTAAAACTATTTACCCTCAGTTCAGTTATGTTTGTAAACCATGCATATTAATGAGATGCACTAGTTGGGTGTACACTGGATAAACAAAAACTTGGCCATTTGTTTGCACACAAGAAAAAAATCAGTTTACTTGTACAAGATATTTTTTTTTCAATAAAATAAAAACACCAATGTATGTAGCATGCCTTAGGGAGCTATTCGTGTGATTTTCAAAAAAACACATGAAAAGTGCTCAAAAAAACTATTCTGCTACCTTAAGAAGATACCAGAAATGTGACCTTCCATGCATAAGTGTGTTTGGTCATCTTGTATACTGGTAAGGATAATGAGAATAAATTTATTGTTTTCTGTTTACAGAGTGGTACACAGAAAGTGTCCAAAATCTGCATTGCTATATTATGTGGTAGCTGGACATTTGCTATTATTACATTGATTATTGCCGCTGCAAGCCATGGAGATATCATATCATGGCTCAACTACCTATTATATTTATCTTATATTAAACTAGGTGTCACTCTTATCAAGTATATACCTCAGGTAACGATTAACTTTTTTTTCATCATGTTTGCTAATGGTATTGTATAGTTTAATGTTATTTTGCATCCATTTTTGCTATCCGTGGTGGCGCTAAGCAGTTGATGTATTGAGAAACTCTCGCATATATACTTACTATGAGTAGAATTATAGGCTTTATACTGGATGTGGTAATATACATGTACGTTGAAGTGCTTAATGGGTCATAAGCGACTCTGTTGTTTCTATGTAATGCTAAGCCTAAAATGACCTCTTTAGTACCAAGTGAAAACCAATGTTAGTGTCCATGCTATAAAAACATTACTGAAAACTGCAAAAATTATAATTTTTCAAACAAAAAATTCTCTGTCGTGCTGTTACATGCTGTGTTCACTTATAGGGTACTACATGGATTGATAAATAAGAAGTAATCGACTTAAAATACAGCACATATCTATTTAATATTTTGCATATTAGTTCTCAAGTCCAAAAGAGAGATTTTTTGTTTTGTTCACCTGCCCAGTGCAATTATTCTGAGAGGTCTGGACAGGTATATCATATAATCATCAAATCAATCTTAATTCCAGTTAAAATAAAGTATTTTACATTATCATTGAATAAAACTGTAATAGATTAGACCAAAATCTATTTGTGGTTCTGTGATTAAAGTTAGATGTGCCCCGTTTTTTTTACCATATGTACTCTGTACAAGATTTTTGTACAATCTTTCCTATGTTCATTAAAAAATTCAAAAAGACTGCCAAGTTGTCTAGGTGTCAGCCATACTGAGTTAGAACAGTCTCTTGTTTGAAATGACATTTGAAATTACATAGACTTTGATGTTTACATCTGTTTCTACTTTGCAGGCCTACATGAATTATCAACGTAAAAGCACAGAGGGATGGAGTATAGGAAACATTCTACTCGATATGACTGGTGGTACTCTAAGTCTAGTACAGATGTTCCTCATTTCTTACAATTACAATGACTGGAAATCTATATTTGGCGATCCAACTAAGTTTGGACTCGGAGTTTTTTCAATCTGTTTTGATATCTTGTTCATTGTACAGCATTACATTCTGTACAGAGGGAATCGCCCAATCAATGGGGAGAAGAATAAATTGATAAATAACAAAGGTAAAAAAATTTATGCCAGTTTGTAGAAGTCTCAGATCATCTCCTTTTTCAAATTATGATTTTCCCCTATACTGTCAGCTTTTTCAAATGTGTATAGACTAATGTGAAATTTTCATCAAAATATAGTTAAACTATTGTCAGCAATACCACATGTGAGCGATTGTTAAGGGTGTTCTCAATTTTAGGCAAATGTCCATCATTTTAATGTTTTTTGGGGGGGGGCAGATATACTTTGACATTGCTTTCACATTAAAAAAAAAACAGTACTGATTAACAATGGAAGTTAGCAAATGCCATGGAACCATAAAACTACATTGTGTTCAATGGTGATATGCAAGTGATAATATAATGCTGAGCTGAAAATTGATAAAGGTGATAGTGCAACTATTGGTGGCAGAGTGATGCCTGTAATTGTATTTTCTGTAATTTGTCTTGCATTTGTACCTTTACTGTATGTATCGCTTTATACGTAGGTGTCATTGTTTTATTACACCTACTTCTAAATCTGAAACATGACAGAGATGCAATTATATAGCACAAAATACAGTAGTTACCATGGTGAATTGTGATGGTATTTTTACTTAATTTCTGTAATTTTCACTTCTCAGTTTATTTTTGAGCAAAAAGACAAGATATGAAATAATTCATGGATTTTGCCTAAATAAAGTCAACGTTTTCAAAACATTGGCAGATATTGTGTAAAATGCATGACCATAATTGGTAGTGAAAAAATTATGGAAATTTAATGCATATTATTCACTTTTACGTGTAAATTTGTTAACAATAATATAACCATATATTCTGAAACTGACTATTTTTTTTTTGGCTTGGAGAGGCTTATTTTTGAGGCTTTTATTCACTTGTCTTTTACCTCATACTCTGTTTACATTGTCTTCCTAATAATGACGTCACTGCAATGCATGTGAAAACAGACCATAATTGAACAAGCATGGGGAAGAGAGATTATCTGAAATCATTTTGTACTGGCTTTATTTAAAAACTATTTACACACAACTGTCACTAACACAAATCTTTTCTACTTGAATTCTCAATAAATATTAGCCACAAGCTTGTACATGAAAGAATGACATCTTGCTTGATATGTTTTGATGGGATGAAAGAACTATTATGCCAAAGTATCGCATGAAAATACCATTCCTTTATTAGTCCCAGTTCGGCCAAAGTCCGAAAATGGGGGCTTAATGATTGACCTCTATGTATATGTACGTATGTATATGTGCATGCACAAGTGTGTGCGTGTTAAGTCAGCCAGCCAGCCAGCCAGTCTGTCTGTCTGTCTGTCTGTCTGTCCTTCCAGCTGCATCTCACACGTGCTTGAACAGATCAAGTTACAACTATGCAGATACATCAGACATTCAATCACAATTAGGCACATGCATTTGAATTTTAGAAGCGGATTTAAGATGACAGATCAACATTTTGTGCTAGAAATGCATTATGAATGTCATGGGCAGAATAAAGAAAGGAATCACACAAATAAACTGGCTCCACTTTGTATCATGTCTGCCACATGAGTGTAAAAAAATATACATTCGTGTTGACATTCACTGAAGCTTGACTGGGATTTGTAATTGACAATGTCTTGGTTAAAATATAATTTGGCACATTTGAAGTCTGTCCATGTCAACTATCATAAACCAGTTTAGCAAAAGACTGATATTAATTGCAGTAAAATGTTGTAGCAGAGAAGTAGTTGGGTGCTCTAGACAGGGAATAGGTGTCATCCTATCTGATAACTAACTTTTATAGTTAAAGGTTCTGAAGGTGATTCGGACAGACAGTCAGCAAAGATGGCTTGCAACTTTGCAAAACATTGGTACATTTGTGTGTTCTAGGCTTAGGTAAGTTAGAGGATGCTAATGGTAATTAAAGATGCAATACAGACAAGCACATGCAAATTTTAATATTGTTGTTTGATGGGGTATATTGATGAAAACAATGAACTATGGTTTGCTATCAACTGAAAATGCCCTTGTATCATGTATTAGTTCAATTAAATCCTCTAATATGCATGTGAACCAGTTTTGGTACGTACAACAAGAATCTGCGACATTCGTGTTAGTGTTGTGTCCTGCAAATGCAATATTTCCATTTTGTCATAAATCATATATCACACTTTAGATTACAGTATGGAGCATCAAGCAATATAAAAAAAAAAAAAAATTTCCCTGCGTTGCATCTTCAACAGGTTGTTCTGAAAAACTGCCTTTTCACTAGTACATGTAAATGTGAAGTTTTCAACAAGGAAACAATCCTATTTGCGGGAACAGGTGTTGAGGATAAAGATGCAATTAAACACACTATATTAAAGTCTTGTATTTTATGCAAATAAGCCTTGTAATCACTACACTTTATTCGAAAAAGCTTCATAAATTTCACACCATACAAAAGAACCTTGTAAACATCACATTTGTACAGAGCTTGTGAACACTATACAAAACAGCCATGTAAACATCACATTTGTGCAGAGCTTGTGAACACCACAAAAGAGCCTTGTAAACATCACATTTGTACAGAGCTTGTGAACAATATACAAAACAGCCATGTAAACATCACATTTGTGCAGAGCTTGTGAACACCACAAAAGAGCCTTGTAAACATCACATTTGTACAGAGCTTGTGAACAATATACAAAACAGCCATGTAAACATCACATTTGTGCAGAGCTTGTGAACACTACAAAAGAGCCTTGTAAACATCACATTTGTACAGAGCTTGTGAACACTACAAAAGAGCCTTGTAAACATCACATTTGTACAGAGCTTGTGAACACTATACAAAACAGCCATGTAAACATCACATTTGTACAGAGCTTGTGAACACTATACAAAAGAGCCTTGTAAACATCACATTTTGTACAAAAAGAACCTATTAACACCACACTTCAAAAAAAATACTGCTGTAAACATATTTTGTACAGAGCACTATACAAAACATCCTTGTGAACACACTTTGCACAAGAGCATTGTAATTTCCACACTTTAAACAAGAAACTTGTAAAAGCAACATTTTATATGAAATAGCCCACACAATTTTGTGATTGTAAATGGCACAGTTGTGGCCTATAACTGATACATTTACTCTGCATTTCTATGTCCACAACATACATCGTATGAATTGATGAAATAAAGCATCTGATTATAGCAGTCATAAGGTGGAGTTCATAAATTTCATGTAGAGGGGGTTGTTGATTGTACTACAGGACTTGGCTTGAACTGCATGATGGGAAATGGTTTGAAAAGCATGATGGGTAATGTTAAGAGCTATATGTGTCATCTTACAAAATACAAAATAAATTTTTTTAAATATCACAATTTTTTTTTTTTTAGCAGGATTTGCATTGGCTTTATTCGAAGAAGACTGATGAATTTTATCTTATTTTTTGTGCCTTGAAAGTGGCAGTGTCACAAAAACACTGGTATTAGTAGTAAAATTTTATAATATCTTACGCATAATCATTTCTACTGGAGAGTCAAGCAATATTAAAATTTCAGAAAAAAAAATCTTGTATCTATTTCTGTCTGTGTTGTTATCTGGTATCACTGTACCACTGGCTGGATTTGAACAATATTGGTACACAGCTATAAAATGAACACCACACAAGCAGCTGATTAGATTATGTTACAAATGCTTGCTTGTAAATTAGGGTATTTTTATAATAATTATTAGTTTGTACAAATGCATTTAAAATTGAATTGGTACATGATTGGTGTTTGTGTAAATCAAATATTGCGATAGCAGCTTCCAAGTAATTCAAACTAAGTACAAGCATATTACTTACATAATAATTTCTAATTAACCTGTTCATTTTAATTATCTAATTTACATATTTAACGACTTTCATAATTTTTTAACGGCTTGCTCAAATGGATCATTATTAATCTGTTTATTCTGTTTCATAATGGTTTCAGTTAGCTTGATAATTGGTATATTTCAACATAATTGTTCTTAGTCAATTTGTGCATTTGAAAAGGCTAATTTGCACAATTAATTGTATTTTGCATGTTCTTTGTGTATCCAAATGATTTATAATATTGCAGGCAAATTAATTAATATTCAAAATGACTATGGGTAGATTTATTAAATTCATTTTATTATCATGTCAACTGTCTGTGGGACCAACAAGCCACTTTCAAGATGCCAAAAAATGACATTCTGGTACTTTCATTGATATGATAGCATCAAAAACATGCTCTTAATTTGTAACAGAAACATTTTACTCAAGTAGCTAAAAAACAAATAGTCAAGTCAATGAAACTGAAATATCAATGAAAGTACCAGTATGTGTGAAAAATTACAACCAATTTCATGACATGCAAAACACAAATCCAGCATGCTGGCCATAAAATCCATTGTATGAAACATCCAATGTTTCTTCACTCTACACACGTCACCAAACAGATTCAAATAAATCCACTAGTTCAATATCCGAGCTTGTGCTTTATTACAAAAATATTATTACACAGCTGTAAATATAGTCCCTGATGAATGGTTTCTTGTATCAGTTACAAAATTTTATACAAACAATTTCTGTTTAACAATATTCAAGTACTAGATTGCACTAAACTTTTCCAATTGTAAA